CCCCCCCCCGCGCCCCATTGTCTCCGCACCGCCCCCTCCCCAGCTGGAGTAACTGGCCAGCAAACGGGCTACTTTCTCCCCACCGGCTGGAGGATCGCAGCTCTTGCAAGCAAGCCCGTACGCACCCCCCCTGCACCCCCCCCCCGCGCCCCCAAGAGACCCTTCCTGCAAACCTGGTTTGCTAGTTCCTCGGCTCTCCTTGGCCCAGAATTGAGGAGGGGGGCGGCAGGCAAAAAAAGCGCCGCCGGAGGGGAGACCGACTTGTCCCGCTCTGACCTCCCAAGCGGAGTCGCGCTGCAGACGGCGGGGCTCGCGGGAAGGGAGGGGGGGGCTTTTCCCCTTCCCCCAGCGGTCGCCCCCCTCCCCCCCCCCCCCCCCCCCCAATGCGCCCAGCCCGGGGGTCTCGCCCCTCTCTCTCTCTCCTGACCTCCAAGGATGCGCCCGCGGGAAGGTCCGCCCGCCCGATTTGTCCTGCTCACATTTGCAAGAAGGAAGCGGGTCTTTCTCGTCTTAACCCCCCCCCGCCGCCCCCCGCCTCGCTTTTTCCTTCCAGAGAGGGAAGAAAGTCAATTTGCCCCCCCCTCCCCACTTCCCCGGACTCGGAGCCTTTGGGGCGGGGGGGGGTGGGGGAAGGCAGGCAAGACAGAAGCGGGTGCAGCAGAGAGCCAGAAACCCGGGTCAGGAACGCAGCGGAGGAGGGAAGGGGTCCCTAGCTCCCTTCCCCCTTACTCCCGTCTCCAGCTTTTGGGGCTACACCACCACCACCACCCCGTTTGGGGAGGTGGGCGTCTCCAACTGCAACCAGGCACTCCTGTCCCATAACCAGGACCAAAGCCCCTGGCATTCTGGCAAGAAGATTTTCCTAGCTTTCCTGGTGGTCTTCCATCCAAGTTTGGCCACCCCCTATTTCCCCCCCCCAAATCCCAGTAGTTTCCTTCTGTAGAGCTCACTTTCCTGGGCACGCGGCTCTCCAAACTTGGTCACTTTAAAACTAGCGGACTTCAACTCCCAGAATTCTCCTGGCTTGGAGAATTCTGGGAGTTGAAATCCCCAAGTCTTAAAGTGGCCAAGTTTGGAGACCTCTCCCTCCTGGAGACCAGAAGACCTCCAGAGGTTTTCTTTTGCAATCATACAAGTGTGGCTCCCTTTCCTTTTGCTAAAACAAGGGTTTAGGGAGGGATGCCACTTCCCAATGAAGTTGTACAGCTGGGGGAGGGTTTCCTGGTGGTCTCCCATCCAGACCACACGTTAACCTTCTTTCGGGCTCTTGATATTCCAACCTCCTTCCCACTTCTACTGGTACAGTCAAGAAATAATCTTTTAAATAGCCAGCAAAGGAAATAAACAAATTTCAGGTCTTACCTGTTTCTGGCTTGGTCATTCATCATTAAACAGAACTTGTTGCTTTCCAGGTGTTTTGATTTCTTATTGCTGGAGCAAAAAACAAACAGAACAAAAATGCAGATATTAAGGTGTCCATTCAGCACGTGAAGTCATCCCCAGAGGTCAGTGTTTGTCTCTATGTTTAGTACCTTAACATAGCTAAACAGATGCTGGTTGGCTTTTTCAGATTTGTAAAAAACTTTTTCCATATAAAAGTTTTTATTTTTATCACAACAACAAAAAACAAACATAAAACCTTTCTGTTCAACAGTGTGTCTGTTGAGTACATATTTCTTTGTGCACAAAATAATATTATCAGACATATTTAACCTGTACATATTTATAATCATTCTTATCATTATTGTATATCACATATTTTATCCTTAACTTTACAATCATTAACTTTCAATAATATATTTCAAGTTCATGTTCTTACTCTACCTAGCTCATCTATTTATCAGTAACAATATATTATGCTATACTTATATAGTTCAATTCTTTACTCTTCTATCCAACCATTCATAAAATAAATCCCAAATTTTATAATAGTCTTTTTCTTCTTGTTCTCTAATCGCCATTGTCAATCTACTCATTTCTGCACATTCCAATATTTTCTTAATTATTTCCTCTTCTGTTGGGATTTTTTCATTTTTCCAATTTTGTGCAAATACAATCCTGGCTGCTGTTAATATATTAATAATCAAATATGTTAACTCTTTGTTATAACCCTCAGCAGATTTGTACATTTAGGGGACGGGTTAAAGCTATTTTCCAAAGCACCCGAAGGCCAGACAAGGAATAATGGATGGAAACTGAACAAGGAGAGATTCAACCTGGAAATAAGGAGGAATTTTCTGACAGTGAGAACAATCCACCCATGAAACAGACAAGTTGCCTTCAGAAGTTGTGGGAGCTTCATCCCTGGAAGCTTTCAAGAAGAGACTAAGCTCCCATCTATCAGTAATGGTGTAGGGTCTCCTGCTTGGGCAGGGGGTTGGACTAGATGACCTACAAGCTCCTTTCCAACTCTGTTAATCTGTTAAATGCACAGGAGCAAATCAGACAATTTTAAAAGTTTCTTTTTTCCTCCCTGGTCCTGCTTTGTCCAACTCACTTCCCTTGTGCTTGCACATCATTTAGAGAAACCAACAGCATAATTCTTGTCATTTTCTTTAATCCTAATAAATGTTATTTTACTATCAACATTGAAACTGGGGGCTTCTTTCCCCACCCCAGCTAAATTGAGCCAAAGACAGCACATTCCATCAGAAACAAAAATAACCGGGAATAATAAAAATCGCATCCTTCTTATTTATTAGGCCAAAAAGTAAGACAAAAATTCTCAGGAAAAATGGAGGCAAGGAATCTGAGGGGGGACGGGAAAGTGAGTGACATTTTGGCACACAGTCACCTTATTCAGTTTTTCATTTTTGATGTCAGACACTGCCCAGAATCCTTAGGGATTGGGGTGGATTTTAAATACTTTGAGTCGGTTGCAATTTGCTCAGATTTTAGGCTGCCGAGTTGAAGCAAGAAACATGGGAGAAAAAGATGGAAGCCCAGAAAAAGGTGTGGATTTGCCTCCACCACCATTGGCTCAAAGGACAATTTCCAACAATTAACCCACAATGACACCAAATTCATTCCTCCAGAAACAAACCCGAGCAAAACCTCAGAAGTAAAAAAATAAATGATGCCGTACGAACAGAGGCAGCCAATACAATTTTACTCCTTCTCAGTGAGTAAAAGGAATCTGAGGGGTAGTGCAAGATTTACTCTCAGGTAAATGTGCAAGAGAGCAAAGCTGATATTTGGTGTTGGGTCTGCTTGGGCTGGGGGTTGGACTAGATGACCTACAGGGTCCCAACTCTGCTAATCTGTATATTTTAAGCCCTGAAACTGAACAGAAAGCAGCAGAACAACTGGGAAGGAAGGATGGAGAGAGATGAGAGATATCCAGGGGGAAAAAATATTTTTCTTGGGCCAATTTTGGAACCGGGAAGGAAAAAAAAAACGGGTTGAAATTGTTCCTTTTCTTCTCTCCTAAAACTCAGCTCTTCTGCCCAAGATGTAGAAGGACAGCTAGTTTCTAGCCGTCCCAAGGCAGGAGTTTTTGGACTCTCAACCCACAGAGTCCTGCCAAAACCCCCAACCTGTTATTGTTTTTAGGGGGGAATGAAACTATAGGAGATCAGTTTATATTTATATTTTTAGCACCTTTGAAACCCGCAAAATATTTCTTCAAGACAGGAAAGAAATCCAATTGCCTCCTTTTTTCAGAATGGGAAAAAAAATCCTTTTATTTAGGACTTCCAGGAATTTTCAAAACTGAGGGTGGGGGCGGAATCAGTTGAAATGAAAATCACAGTGAAACAAGCCTCAAACTTTTCCATTCTATTCCTCTCTGACCTTGGCAAACAAAGGTAAATTTCAAAGATATCCCATGGAAAAATGGGAATTGTTTCTAAAGAATAAAGTGACTCCATTTGTTCTGTCTCATGTCTGTGTTGGGCATTGCTATGATCTTGCAGTTAGTGGCTGGGCTTATGCCTGCTCTTAAGCCATGGTTTGTTTATGCTTATTGAATAAGTCACAGTTGGCTGAGTTGATACCACTCATTGAACTATAAGCTCTGCTTTCACAGTGAACTATATTGCAGATTATTAGGGCAACAACCTTGCAAGCTGTTGGCAGCTCTGTCAAAATTAGATGAGGGACTCAAAATCCTTAGGGACAAGCAGACAACCCAGGCAAATTCTCCCCAAATCAGGACTTAAGAGCAACCAGGATGATGAGGGGACTGGAGACTAAGGCACATGAAGAACTGTTACAGAACTGGGCCTAGTGAAGAGAAGGACCAGGCGAGACAGGAGAGCGGTCTTCCAATATTTGAGGGGCTGCCCCAGAGAGAGGAGGAAGGGCTCAACCTGTTTTTCAAGGCACCTGAAGGCCAGAGAAGGAATAAAGGATGGAAGCTGATCAAGGAGAGAGATTCAACCTGGAAATAAGGATGAATTTCCTGTCAGGGAGAGCAGTCAACCCGTGGAACAGAAGTTGCCTTCAGAAGTTCTGGGAGCTTCATCCCTGGAAACTTTCAAGAAGAGATGGGACTGCCATCTGTCAGAAATGGTATAGGCAGGGTCTCCTGCTTGGGTAGGGGGTTGGACTAGTTGACCTCCAAGGTCTCTTCCAACTCTTTTAACGTGTTTTTTAAAAAAATTCTGTGAAACTACCAAAAGGTGGGCTGGGAGATGGAGGGCTGATCCGAGGCACAGAAAAATATTTCCCAGCCATTGTACAGCACCCAGTTTCTGCCTGGGAACACTTCAAGGCGGTCGAGAGGAGTCCAAAGTGGCAGCTGCCAAACCGTTGGAAGCACCCCTTGATGGAGCTTCTGGGGACCTCACCTGCCCTTGTTTGTCCCCAGAATATGGAGCAACTGGAAAGTGGAACCAGATCCCCCCCAAGCCAGAGCACAGATTGTCCTGGCATTCATAGGTGGCTTTGAGGTTGGACCAGCTTAGCTTAATGGGTCCCTTTAGGACTTGGGACACGGCGTGAAGATGGGCTCACTCAGGAACCAGGATAAGCCTTTTGTCCCAGTCTAGGTCTTCACAACGAACCTGGGCTATTTCAGTTCCTTGGCTTCACATGCAGCCTCGGGTTCAAGAGTCTTCCTGCTCTCCTTCTTGCCTTCAATCTGCCTTGGAGGAATCCAGTTAGGTAAGGCACTGAAAAGCTCAGCCCCGTCTTTTAGGAACCCGACTTTCTCTCTTTCATTCTGGCTCCAGCCGAGATTGAATACCAGATTCACACAACAGATCAACCAGCCAAACGTCTTCTAGATGAAGACCCAACGGCTAGGAGCGGTGCTCAGTTTGGGAACTTCAGGAGAGCTCATAACCTGAAGCCCTTGATAGGTTCACCCCACACTCAAAGCCAGGGGTCCCCAAACTTGGCAACGGTAAGACTTGTGGACTTCAACTCCCAGAATTCTCCAGCCAGCTGAGCTGAAGTCCACAAGTCTTAAAGTTGTCAAGTTTGGGGACCTCTGCTCAAAAACAAGTAAGTAAAGAAGGAGCAACTGCATTTACATGCTCAATTCAGGGATTCTCTCTCTCTCTCTCTCTCTCTGTCTGTCTGTCTCTGTCTCTCTGTCTCTCTCTCCCTCTCTCTCAATGGGTTGTGTGAACCCAGCCTGTGGAGTATTGTGTGAACGCTCCCAAAATGGGTTCTTTCTGCCACCATATGGAATGTGTGACGTGAACCCAACCCAACTTGTTCTGAAGAGCGTCTCCTCCTGCAAAGGTGTTCTGCTCGAGATGCAAACGTCTTCACTGGAGCACAGGAGAAGTTGACCAGCAACGGAGACCCCCCCACCCAAGCACTGCCATGAAGTCCCCCCTCCCCCAAAGCCCCACATCTTAGGAAATGTGTCCCATCAGCTCTCACCTTGGGATCTTCTCGTCAGCTCAAAGTGGTCCTCTGTGGCGGCTCTGGGACGGGGCTTCCTCCCCTCAGCTTTCCTGCCCAGCTCTCCTGGCGTCCTACGGCCACCTGGCCAAGATCTGCTGAGCTTTGCTTCTTCATGGTTCAAGGCCTACCCCACCCCAGCTGGGGCTGACTCTGGGATTTCTGCTCTCTGCTCCTCTGGTCCAAGGCACGAAACAATGGTGCTCGGCCGCAGGGATGGTCCCTTTGGAAGTGGAAGGGCGGCCTTTTTATGTCCCTCCTTCCTGTATAAATCAGGCCTGGGATGGGACAATCCAGACAGGAAGCATGGTGAGTGTTGCTGCCTGATAAGGAGACGGGAGAGCAGAGGCAAACAGCTCAGCAGGGAATTGGGCACGAAACAGCCATCTTATGCCAAAAGGAAGAGGTGGCTGGGGGATTGGGAGGAGTAGGGGGGGCAGGTTCGACCAGGGAGGGGCTCTGCATACAGAAACCACTTCAGGAATGCCCGGTTTCTCACCCCCCCCCCCAATTAACTCAGGAGGAAGCCATGAGACGGGGCCAGCTCTCTCCACCGGAGCTTCTAACTTGGTTTTTCCTAACCTAGAATCCTGCATCCAGTTTTGGCCAGTTGTGGTGGTTGTGATCACCTGTGGCTGCAGAAAGCCTTTTCCAGGGCAGCATGGCTGTTGTGGACCCCTCTGGCCATCCTCTGCCGTCGCCTGGCCACCTCACCTAGCAAAGCTCTGGGTCAGCCAATGCAATCCTAAGTTGCATTAACACAGGGATACAATCAAGATCAAGGGAGGTACTATTACCGCTCTGTAAAGCCTTAGTAAGACCACACCTAGAGCTCTGCATGCAGTTTTGATCACCACACCATAAAAAAATGAGGTTGAGGCTCTAGAAAAAGCGCAGAGAAGAGCAACCAGGATGATGAGGGGACTGGAGGCTAAAACATATGATGAACAGTTGCAGGAACTGGGCATGGCTAGTCTAGAGAAGAGAAGGACCAGGGGAGACAGGATAGCGGTGCTCCAATATTTGAGGGGCTTCCACAGAGAGGAGGAAGGGGTCAAGCTATTTTCCTGAAGGCCAGACAAGGAATTATGGATGGAAACTGAACAAAGAGAGATTCAACCTGGAAATTTCAAAAAGTTTCGAAAGTTTAAAATGCCATCAAAGATCCATCTCATTCTGGACATTCATTTTTTTGAACTATTACTGGCCGACAGTACAAGATAATAAAAAACAAGGACAAATAGGCTGAAAAACAGCTTCTATCCTAAGGCAGTAACTTTATTGAATTCTATTGTATAGTGCAGTCAGGGGTTTTCCATTCAGTTATATAGAACGTGAAGGAGGTGTGTTTGTGTTTATTTTCATAGTCATAATGTACACTGAAGATGATATTTAATTTTGAGGTGCAATGACAATAAAGTAAAGTAAACTGAATAAGGAGAAATTTTCTGACAGTGAGAACAATCAACCAACGGAACAGAAGTTGCCTTCAGAAGTTATGGGAACTTCAACACTACTGGAGGCTTTCAAGAAGAGGCTGGACTACCATCTGTCAGAAATGGTGTAGGATCTCCTGCTTAGGCGAGGGGTTGGACTAGATGAGCTACAAGGTCCCTTCCAACTCCGTTAAATCTGGAAAAATAACAACCCAGCTTTTCAGAAGGGGCAGATTTCTGCCTCGGAATCCATAGCTAGGAGGAGTCTCACTTCAATGGACGTCTGGGTTGGTTGGAGCTTAGCAGGTGGGATGAACCATCCCTAGCCAGGGAGAAACCTGGGCCTCCCCGCTTAGCCCAGTGTTTCTCAGTCTCAGGAACTTGAAGTAGACTTCCATTCCCAGAATGCTGGCTGGGGAATTCTGGGAGTTGAAGTCCACACTTCTTAAAGCTTCCCAAGATCGAAAAACTCTGCTGTAGAAGCCCTGCGTAGCTTAGCTGTATTTTTTCCTCAGTTTGCGTATCAAGAAAGCAAAGCACGGATCCCTGAATTGTTGTCCCACAAGCCATGGTCAAAACATCAAAGTGATGCCATAGCTTGCCATCAAGAGTTCCCACTTAAAGAACAATCCTGGGTTGTATAAACATAGAATCAAAATCACGTGGCGCATTCGTCCTGCTCAGTAAGGCCACACTGGGAATGTTTTGGTCGCCACATTACGAACAAGATGTTGAGGTGCTGGAAAAAGTGCAAAGAAGAGCAACTAAGATGATTAAAGTCCTGGAAGACAAAAACATAGAAAGAACGGTTGCAGGAATTTGATAGGGCTACTCTAGATACTGCATCCAGTTTTGGTTGCCACGTTATTACAAAAAAAGATGCTTGAGACTTTGGGAAAAGTGCAGAGAAGAGCAACTAAGATGATTTTTAAATAACATTTTATTTCAGTTTTCCACATTTTAAAAACATCTTTTTTTTTAGTGAACAGCCTAGTTCCAGGTTATCCCATTGACATACAAACATGACTTTAATGACATACCCATCTTTCACATTTCATTTCATTTCTTATCATTACTAAGATGATTTAAAGGCTTGGAGACAAAAACACAGGAAGAACGATTGGAGGATTTGGGTTTGGCTAGTCGAGAGAAAAGAAAAGGACTAAGGGCGACATGATAGCAGGATTCCAGCATTTGAGGAGCTGCCACAAAGAAGAGTTGGGGGTCAGATTATTTTCCAAAGCATCAGAAGACAAGAAACAACGGATGGAAACTAATCCAGGAGAGAAGCAACCTGGAATTAAGGAGAAACTTCCTAACGGTGAGGACAGTTAACCAGTGGGACAGCTTGCCACCAGAGGTTGTTGGTGCTTTATCACTGGAGGTTTTTAAGAAGAGACTGGACAGCCACTTGTCTGAAATGGGATAGGGTCTCCTGCTTGAGCAGAGGGTTGGACCAGATGACCTCCAAGGTCCCTTCCAGCTCTATTCTGATTGACTGAACAGAGAAGTATCAATTGCACCAGCTCCTTGACATAGTTATAAAGGAGGAAGCAAAGCAGACGGATAGATACTGGCCCCACTTAGCTTCCAGAGTCATAATTGGATCCTTTAAATATGCTCCCTGATCATGATGACTGCACAGTTTGCAAATTTGCTAGCAATTAGCGAAAACAATAGTTTCCCAGCCTGGTACCTTTCCAGAACTTCAGGATGAAAAAAAATAATCTTCTCAAATGCCTGCAGAGGGTGAGGATAAATGCAAACTAACTGCATCTCAGAAAACCACTTCCTGAGCTGTTGCACAATTTCATAGAAGTCAGAAATAAGAAAGAATGGCTTAGGTTGGGGAAACAGCTTTCTTCCTTTCTCGTGACAGAAACTCAAGCAGAATTATATATATATATATATATATTCATCTGACAGGTTGCAGACACAGTCGGTTTGCTGGGAGCTCAGAAAGTGCTGAAAAAGAAATAGTCAACAAATATCCATGCTGGGTAAATGGAGCCTCCACTTTCAGGAGCAGTGTATCTCTGAATGCCCTATGGTGGAGACGCAGCAAAGGATACGTTGCCTGCCACGGGTAGCCAGATCAGATCACCTGGCACAAAAGACCACTGCAATTTGGGTTTCAGAGACACTGAATGCAAAATTTTATTATAAATCACAAGAATTAACATTAATAGAGTTGGACAGGATCTTGAAGGTCAACTAGTCCCACCCCCTGCCCAAGCAGGAGACCCTACACCATTTCTGACAGATGGCAGTCCAGTCTCTTCTTGGAAGCCTCCAGTGATGGAGCTCCCACAACTTCTGAAGGCATCTTTCATGTTCCATGCGTTGATTGTTCTCACTGTCAGGAAATTCCTCCTTATTTCCAGGTTGGTCAGCTTCCACCCATTCTTCCTTGTCTGGCCTTCGGGTGCTTTGGAGAATAGCTTGACCCCCTTCCTCCTCCCTCCAATATTGGAAGACTGCTATCCTGTCTCCCCTGGATTGACAGCTAGATTGGGAAGGATGAGCAATCACCACAAAGGGCAGCTGCTGAGGGTCTCTCCGGCCCAGCAAATTTAGCCCCTGGCTTCATTCCCTTCCCAAAGGAAGAGTTGGGCCCAAGTGCATTATGGACACAGGAGCCTCCTCATCGGAGACTTGGCAGGCCAGTTGGGGCCCACCCTGGCTGAATGTGTAGGGCAGCCCAACTCTTCGCCCCTTGGCTCAGTCCAGTGCTCGATGATGAGGCCCGCAGACCAGAGGTGGGATTCAGCCGGTTCTGGAGAACCAGAAGGGGAAGTTTTGAGTAGTTCGGAGAACCAGCCAATCCCACCTCTGACTGGCCCTGCCAACCCCATCTCTTCTCTGTCCCCCATCGAGTCCCAGCTGAGTGGCTGGGTCTCCTTTGGTTGCCCTGCACAGGAGAAGGGAGCTGGAAAGCAGGCTTGTGGGGTGGGGAGGGAAGGGGGATTTTGCAGTAACCTTCCCCTGCCACGCCCACCAAGCCACACCCACAGAACCGGTAGTAAAAAAAAGCTGAATCCCACCACTGCCACAACTCCTTTCAGCAGGAGTTCTGAATGAAGTGCCCCCCAACTCTTTAGTCCAGCTTTTCAGGGTCCATAAACACCCCAACCCTCCTGCTCACTCGTTTGGTTCGACTCCTTGGTTCCCCCGGTTTCTCTAGAAAGGGTTTGGACTTCCAAAGGGGACCCTGGTGGGTGGGAGGTGGAGGAGAAGGAAGCCCCCCCCCCCCCGAGGACCTGGTTCTGCCAGCGGCCCTGGGGAACCCAGAGTGCGATGGAGCCCATCAATGGGCTCGTGGGATCTGCTGTCATTGGGGTGGGATGCGGTTGGGAGTTGGGTGTGTGTGTGTGATTTTTTAAAAAATTTACTTATATATTTTTCCAGATTTTGTTCTATTGTACTTTATTAATTTATTTGATTCTTTTTGTTTGTTTTTATTTTTTTATTTTTGTTTTAAATCTGGTTTTACATTCTGTAAGTGACCTCAAGTTGAATAGGCAACAATACAAATTAGATAGATAGATAGATGATAGATAAATAGATAGATAGATGATAGATGGATAGATAGATGATAGATAGATAGATAGATAGATAGATAGATAGATAGATAGATAGATAGATAG